CTTTCCACGGCAAATATCCCGTGATTTTCATTGGATGAAACTAATTTCCGTCTACCCTGCAAAAATAAAAAAAAATGCTTGTGTAGTTACTGAGAAATGTTTTCGTAATTCTCTTGCTCTCTTACGAAATTGGCATCGCATTTAATCAATCGCCAATTGTGTCTTGTTTGAAGGACTATATTATCTTTCGTCGTCCGCTATCACGATCCCAAGGAACGACTTGGCCTACCTTAGACTGTCTTTGACATTGTTGGCGAATTTACCTGATCACCAAATTCCTGTTTGCATAATTATCATTACCAAAACATTCCATTTCCTCACCTAGACGAACGCATGTAAAGGACATCTTAAACTCTTTCTTCCAGACAATCAAATACTATCGAATCGGTTGTTTATATGTCGTCGAGGAAACTTAACTAAAATATAAATCAGATGATCACTAAAGTTCGTGCTGTTTTCAATATTCGATACTTGAAAAAAAAAATTTGTGTGTAAATGTCTGAATGACTAAATGTGTAGCATTGAAATTGGCCAAAACGTTTGCTCGGGAGTAAACGAACAACTAATGTCAAGCAATTGGACAACATAAGATATAAAGTGAAAGTGAAAGTGAAAGTGAAGGTAGGCAATCAATTTAAAGAAATAAGTGAAAGTAAGAAGGGGTTGTTTTTATTATTGAGAAGGTGAACGAGATCAAATAAGAAAGAAGTCGAAGAAGAAAGACAATTAAGAAGGAAGTAATGAACGAATAAATGAGATAAGAGAGGAAAATAAATAAAACAGATTGAACGATTTGAAGATGTTCAAGATTAACAGACGGAACGAATGAAAAGGAATGAAAACCAAACACTAATTTCGACCTAAGAAAGTAATTTGAGAAAGAAAATTAAAACCAAAGTAGAAAAGATCAAATAGTCAAAGGGTTATAGTGATTGTTTTCTGTTCACCTTTTTATCTTCTATCTGACTATCCACTTGCACCATTAAATGACTAATCATTAGGATTCTGATGAATACAATTTGTAAACGAATTAAACCAGAAAAAGTCTAAGATGAGGACTTTTTTTCAATTTAGTACTTCACTTCTGAGATGAGAAATTGTAAATGTTCTTGTCTTATTTCGAACTATTGTACTCGTCTTGGGTGCTGTAGATGTTATTATAGACACAACGTTTCGATCTTCTGGTCATCATCAGGTAACCATTGATTAGCTGATATGGGATAGCTGTCGGTTACAACATATCACAAATATCAGCCAATCAAAGGATACTTGATGTTGACCAGAGTGTACTTGTTCGAAATCTTTTATTTGTAAGAACATCAATATCAACATGCATCATTTATCAGCCACCAATTACACCTGATCATGACTAGAGGTTACTTGGCCGAAACGTCATGTCTATAATAACATCCAATTGGCTTATTTGCTTGCTTAAACTCAACGTTAATTCTGATTCAGCAGAACTGGGTTGGGTGTGAAAAAGTATTTGTTATTAATTTTTTCATTCGGTATTTCCAGTTACGAGTCCTTTTTTAAAGCTGATCGTTTTGTGTTCATTTTGTTTAGTTCTTGTTTCGTAACAGATTTAATGTTTAGTATAGAGCTTAGAAAAAATTCGCAGTGTGAGATAGGCAAGAACTAAGGCATGTAGCAACATCAGCAGGGCAAAGGGCACTCCTTTAAAGGCAAGGAAGGGCAAAAATATTTTAAGTCAAGCGATAGCGATTGCTGTATGAGTCGTACGATTTTTGAATCAAGCACGGGCAACGCCGGGCCATGCTGCTAGTCTTAACATAAAATAAACAAAGCTGTATAACGTGGAAAATAGATAGATAGATAGATAGATAGATAGATAGATAGATAGATAGATAGATAGATAGGATCAAGTTTATTTAAAAGAACCTTTTCTGTAACCGTTATGTAACTTTGCGGAAATATAGCAACGGTATTTTATTAGTTCTCTTCGATAGCAGTGTTCGAATTCCAGTCGAATCCATTACATTCATATTAATACCCTTGGGAAAGGCATGAATCCTCTTCTTCTCTCACCCCCAGCTATGGGTAAATAGCAAGACAAACCAGGTTCTATAGCCTTGGATGGCAACTGGTCTACTGCACAAAGAAATGGCAACCTAATGCGGGAAAATCTTCCTCGTCAGTCATGTATCGGAAAGATATATGATCGCCTTAGCATGGATCACGCATAACACATAAATCTATCTGTATGGGTAAACAGCAAGACACACTGGGCCATATAGCCTTGGTTGGCGACCGGTCTATGAGAAGAAAAATCTCTGAATTTAAAACCAGCCTGTAGCGGTTTGGACTCTGTTAGTCTATATTACTCAGGAAACACCACTGCTACTGTGGCTAGTATTCATTCACGAAGAGGCTCAGTTAAAAATTAAAGTACCAGGAATCATTTAAACGTAACCCTCACTGATATTTTTATTCTGTGGTTTCATGTAACTTATGAGATAGTCACTATTGGGATTCATTACGGACCGATATTAACTTAACATTAAATAAACAAATCCGTATACCGTGGAAGTGAAAAATAATATGAAAAAAATGACGGGTTACCCCCCACTAGGAAGTTCCTCTCCTTCGGTAGGTAGATGGGCTAATTACCCGATGCCTAAGGCCTCCCCAGAATTGGAAGTGCCGAGGAGGTTTGTGTATTTTTTGTACATTATTTCTGAAATCTCACTATAAATTCAGACCTTATGCCACATTCTGGGAAGCTTGGATAAATACCTACTTACATAAAACCTCAACGTGATGTAATGATTAGCAATCATGTCACGCTAGATAAATTACAACTGAGTAGCGAGTTAAATTCTTACTGGGTGTTCCATATTTTCGGCCTTGTGCCATACTTAAGTTACTTGTAAATTACTATTCGGGCACTTTAACGTTGTGTAATCGTTAGAGATCTTGTCAATTTCGACTGAGTAATGAGTTCGATCCTTACTGGGTGCTCCATATGTCCGGCCTTGTGCCACATATAAGCTACGCTTAGTGAATCACTACACAGAAAGTGTGGTTAAAGAAAACTGAACGAAATCCTAGATAAAAAGAAAATTAAGAGCAAATAAGATTATTAACTGTAAGAAAACGGTATTTATGTGTCAGCAAAAGTCACTGGAAGTCAATGGTGAGGACAACATACTGGGGACTTCAAATAAATAAAGGATAGTGTTGCAAAAGATAATGGAAAAACTTTTTTAAAAAATGGAAAATAAAATGTAATATATATATATATATATATATATATATATATATACACCTAGTATAGGTACACCTAGTGACAGACAAACCTACTAGGTTCACCTAAACGGATCGTCAGGGAAAGTTTGGCTAACGAGGCAAAAGACACATATTTATAGGTGATAGCTAAAAATCATACCACGTGACAAAATAAAAACAAAAAAAAACAAAACAACCTAAGTGGGGGGGAAATATTTATTCAACAAAAAAAAAAAAAAAAAATCTCAGTGGAAAGTCAATAACAGGGAAACGTCTGATTTAGTAGCCAAGATTTTTATGTCTACATACATTGAGAATTTCAGTTTTAGAGTTTAATAGCTGGTTGGGTTGATCATATGTTTCTTCTCTTTGCCTCGTTAGCCAAACTTTCCCTGACGATCCGTTTAGGTGAAACCTTGGTAGGTTTGTCTGGCTCACTAGGGTGTATCTAGGTCTACTCTACGGTTGTATTGAGCTCTTTTTGTTAGTTAGTTGTTACTCGTATCGGGGTTTTTTTCTTTGGGCTTCAGACCTGCATCTGTGCGATTTTTTTGTCGGCAGAAGTCCATGTTTGTAGCTCTTTTTAAAACCTTTTAAACCTTTTTTCCCTCGAGATTGATTTGATTAGCAAATCAAAATTCGAGGTTTTTTCAAACGAGTCTAGTTATCTATATATATATATATATATATATATATATATATATATATATATATATATATATACCAGTTTAAAAAGCTGTCCTATCTGGCAGCATTTAAGCTAACTCATGCGTAGGGCTCTTGATTGGGCCTTCATAGCAATAGTTTGGTAGCAGTAGATGCGATAGACAATAAACTATAGAAGAACTCAAAATTGATCGCTGCATTTAAGTATTGCATTAATATTTAAGATTACCTGTTAAAAGTTTAACGATAATTCTTCTGACTCCAGTTAATTTAAAAACAATTTACGTAGGTCCTTACATTAGTTTCTACAAATACTTATTTTAATTTCATGGGTGACTTTCGCTGGATTTCGCAATTAATTTCGATTATTCCCAAGTTTATTTTCAAGTTATAAAAATTTTTAATGTTCAAAAAAATTGTCGTAAAAAATAGCCGAAAACAATCGCAATGATGTAAACTTGAAAAACGGATCCATTCCAGAATGTGTTTAATTTGCTCATAGTGTCGGCCTGCGTCCAAAATGGTAGGATATGATGGGCTACGGCCTCTAGGAGTAAAGTTGAAAGTACAGACAACTTTATTTTGAAACACTGTAATTTGAGAACAGTATTTTTTTCCTCTGAAAATGAGCTATCAAAAACTTACAGAGTTGTCTCCCTTTAATGGTTTTTATCAATAGAAGTCAAGATGGTGAAATTCGAAAACAATAATGAAAATTTGGGAAACCAAAGTTTCAAGATTGCGCGTCCGGATCCGACCTGGATTTTTTTTTTAATTTGCTCACGGAGTTGGCCTGATTCCAAAATGGCATGAAATCCTGGACTACAGCCTCTAGGAGTAAAGTTGAAAATGTGTGAAACACTGACATTCGAATAATATATATATATATATATATATATATATATATATATATTTACATAGTTTCTCTCTCTCTCTCTCTCTAAATATATATATATATATATATATATATATATATGTGTGTGTGTGTGTGTGTGTGTGTGTGTGTGTGTGTTAAAGAAACCGTAGTTCGCTGCTACTAACAAGCAGAAATCTTTTCTCTCTGATGATGATGGCCATGTTGGTCA